CTTTGTGCACTGTACCACTTCTGGAAACTGTACTCAAAGAACTCATGTTTAGACATGAGCAGTTCCATCTTGTGAGTTTATCAATCTTAATCTCTGCACACTGCAGATCATCTGAACGATGATGGACTGTAGATGAAAAGCAGCATAAACATGTTTAGGTCAATTTAAGTGTTGTCACATTTTGCTCAGAATATCACCTTGTTGTCTGTGGTTATTAAACTGCAGTATGTTACTTGTACAAATAGTTTTTTTTTTTTAATGAAAACTGTGACTATGTCCTCATGGTAAATATGAGACAGATAATCAATGGAAGCATTGATTTCCTCCACTTCCTCCTTGTTGTCCTAGATATCTGCAGAAATGCACCAGTCCAGGTCAAAAACACCCAATCAGAGCAAAGAGGAGGGTCTTAGTGTTGTCAATCAATGCTCGTGTAAACCCTGCTCACTATACAGGGGAGGACTAATTTGTTGGTTTGAATTTTCAGGCTAAGGTTACAGTTTTTTCAGCACTTCCTATTTCAGCTTTAAGCAGTTTATCTCAGAGAGTTTTTGATGATCAAAACTTCAACAAGAAAAACATAAACATCCATCTCACTTCTTTTGTTAAACAGGCCAAGTTTTGATCCTCCATAACCTGCAATCTGAACCTTGGTGCCGCTGAAACACAAAAAACAAAACTAAAAATAAATCACATTAAGAAAAACAACCAGAGCTCAAATTTTCCTGGATGAACTTTTTCTCATTTTGCAGATCAAGAAGCAAAATTCTTAAATTTGAGAAGCTAAAACTTACAGTAGGAGAGTATCTGGACAGGCAGCTAGTTTGACTGGTTCGATTGTTGTTAGTACTGGCAGCTTGAGGAGCATGATGTCATGTTTACGGCCGTTGCTGTCTCTATAAATCTCATGATGAGTAATTCTATACGTCGTTGTGGGAAGCCATTTAGGATGAACTCCGACATGTGCCTCAATAATCCTAGGAAAATAAAACATAATTAATAGAGAAACAAATTAAGTTATTGGTGATTTGTCAGTAAGATGTTTCCTGACTCACCATCCTGGATCTGACTCCCCCAGCAGTGAGCTGCAGTCAGAACCCAACGATGGCTGATCAGAGATCCTCCACAAATATAATCCTGTACCTTATTATGTCCATAGATCTTCACATGATACCTACGCTCATCGTCTCTACATTTCTCACCTCCAACAATTCTCTTCTGCAGAGACACTGAGCTCACTGCAACACCTGGAGAAGAAAGTTGCTGTTTTAGCAATTTCAAACAGTAGAAACAAAGAAACAACATGACAGCTCATAATGAAAAGGATAAAATAAAACACAGATCAACATAATTCATAGCATTCAGAGCCAGTGTAAGTGTCTCCAGTGTCTCCAGTGAGTCCGACTCACCCAGACCCAGCAGCAGCAGAAGAACCTTCAGCAGAGCCATTGCTGGTCCAGCTTCCTGTGAATGTCTGCAGTCCTGCAGCAGCTATTAAACTCTGTTCACAATTTCCTGTTGGATAAGAAGCCACCAATTACAGGACGGACGCCGGTCTGTCCAATCACAGGGAGTCACCCAGCTCTGTCCAGCAAGTTAGGGACTTGCTGGACAGTCCCTAACTTCTGAATTATGGTCCTCCAGGGTGTTTGTACGACAAGCAGTTTTTTCTGGCTGTGTAGTCCATCAGTTTCAGTACAGATGTTTTCATGACAAAGTAAAGAACAATGTGAGCTGAGGATTTGTAGGATTCCTTTAAATTTGGCCGATCAAAAGGATAAAATATGGCAGAGTTACCAGTGTATGAAATTTATGTCTTTAAGAATTATGAAAACATTCAATAAATTAAATTTCACAAAACCTGAGAATTATTCATCTGGCAGGAGACGTAAAAGTTTTGATGTAGATTAAAAATCCAACTTACAAAAAAAACAACAAAGTCCAAAGAATAAAAATAAACCCAAACCAGGGAAAAGTAGAGACCATGAGGAAAGCAGGGAAAAAGGAAGAGGAGCAGTAGCAAGACGAAGCGGCGAGTGACAGTCTGTGATTTGACCAATTAGAGATGTGATTATATATTCATCTGCTGCTCATAATCATCTGTTTTATGTTGCTAAAAGTTAGTTTGGTGTAAAGAGGAGCTAAAATGCTAACAAAGATCAAGTTAAGGACAAACACACAGCGTATGAAAAAATAGAGAAACGCCTGTGATGTTACATTGTGAAAAACTAAAAGACTAATGGAACTAAAATGTCCTTCATAAAGGAAATTATGAATCTTGTAACTTTATAGACCAAAAATGTTTCAAGTGATTCATAAGGAACAGTCTGTAATGGACAAAAGGACTCTTTGTCTTTTCTCTATCTGTTTTATCTGCTCACGCGCACACGGCTGCACGCTGACATAACCATGGCAGTTCAGACTGGTGACAGTAACACATGAACAATAACAGATTAAGGAAGGCAAAACCTGAGAGAGAGCAGAGAGCTTCAGTCTTTGCTTCACTTGATTTTTTTAAATCAAGTGAGGATTTGTAGGATTCCTTTAAACTTTTTTGATTTTTTATTAAGTGATGAAAAACTAAACATCAGACAAGCTTAAAGCGGTGAGCAAAAAGGAGACTTCCTCCATCACTCGCTCTCCTGGGTCCACTGCGTCTTCCCCACCATCTCCATAACTGAAATTCATGACAGTGACTTTAATGTCCAATGCATTACCATCCTTCTCTTATATACTTTCAAACTCATAGAAACCTTTAATACATTGTGTTTTGTTTCTTGACAAGTTTAAACACAAAATAAATTTTCCTTATATAAAAGAAAATTTGCATATAAGCTTAATAGTTATTTCTGTGCAAATCACCTGTAAATGTAACAGTTAGCAAGCTAGAAATAAATATTTTGCTATATCAGTGTTAACTATCTAGTTCAGAAGTTTATAGAGTCAGTTTGCTAAACAAATATTTCATTTGAAACTGTGACATTTCCCAATGAATGCATAACATGTTGAAAATATGATTGAAAATGAACCTCGAGACTGTAACATTACAGTGTTGGAGATGATCTTTTCTCCAGCTTGGTTCGTAATGAATGAGGTTCAAGAAGAGTCGGTGAGTTGAAATCATCAATCTTACATATTAAGACCAAAATACAGAGCTGGTCCATCACCATGTTTCCTGATGGGAGAACAAAGCAAATGGTTCCTAGCAGCAGTTCCTCGTTCATTTTCTTGGTTTATATCTAAACTCTGCTCTATAGAGGACATTTCCTAACATGTCATTTTCTAAAATTTACAGGTGTATATATGTGCATGTATGAGTGTGTGTGTTTCCACAGCCAGACCCCATACTGCTGCACCCTACACCCTTCTATGAAGGGTGTAGGGTGAAGTCAAAGTGCACATAAAGGTTTGAAGGTTACAAACGTAGAAAAATTTGAGATTTGGGGCAGTACCTGTGTCGTAACCTGGACATCCAAAATGGTGGGACTGGTCACTGCTTAGGCATGTGTGCTGCTAATAAGTACAACTACAACAACAAAAAAATGATTTTAAATGTATAAAATTCATTGCTAGAGATATTTGACTGTTCAAAAGTCTTTTGTTTTGACTTGTATACAGAGCAAAATTCATTGTAATCACACATGTTCAGTCGAGTAAAACAAACATTATATCAAGACTTTACTTTTGAAAACTTTTTTTCTGTTTTGCAACAGACACAGCTTACTCTGTGAACATTGCCATATTTCTAAGATGGCAAAAATACAAAAATCAAATGTACAAATGTTCAATTTAACAGTCTGTGATTTGACCAATTAGAAATGTGATCACATATTCAGCTATTAAAAACATCTGTTTCATGTTGCTAAAATTTAGTTTGGTGTAAAGAGGAGTTAATGTGCTAACAAAGATCAAGTTAAGAAGAAAAACACTAAAAAAAACTGAAAAAAGCCTGTGATGTGACGTTCTGAAAAAACAGAAAGACTAATGGAACTAAAATGTCCTTCATAAAGGAAATTATGAATCTTGTAACTTTATAGACCAAAAATGTTTCAAGTGATTCATAAGGAACAGTCTGTAATGGACAAAAGGACTCTTTGTCTTTTCTCTATCTGTTTTATCTGCTCACGCGCACACGGCTGCACGCTGACATAACCATAGCAGTTCAGACTGGTGACAGTAACACGTCTCCTGCCTGCTGCGTTGGGTCCACACTTCAACCACAGACATCATGACAGACGCTGGAAATGCATCGAACTTTAAAGCCACTCTGTGGCTTTAATGTGGCCATGGTCAGTTTGTAATTCATATAATGTAAACATTTCAATATAAATAAGACATGCTTTTCAGAAGCACAATAACATTGTTACAAAATAAAATGGGAACAATGGACTTTTTTCTTAAATTTTCAATTTAAGAACTAAAATATAAGAATATTTTCACAGTCAAAATATTTGGCAGATGTGAATTCATGTAGATTGGAAACCAAACAGGTTTTTCTTAAAAAACAACCTGAAAACAATGACGAGTCTCTCTTTCTTCAGAAAGTCATTTTATTTCATTAAGATTACAATCAAGTTTTCCTTTGAGCAAAACTCTGCAAAAACAGAAAATAATTTTTACTTTAGTTTCTAGAACAAATCTCTCAGTTCACTTGGAATAAAGCAAAACTAACATACAAGTAACTACAGCAAAATATGGGAATTGCTTGTCATAAGTTCCTTAATATTACTGAAAAGGAATTGACTTATGAAACAAAAGGATCGTGTTTCAATGGCTGTTTATTTAAGTTATAAGAGGTGGAAATGTTTCGTTATTAGTGAAATAATCTGTCAATGCAACTAGAACTTTTTAAAAGTTTCTTTTGGACAATGAGATGTTAAATTTCATCTCTATGCACCTGACAGCGCACATCAGTGTCGTCCTATGATTGGTGGCTTCCTGTCAAACTGGAACTTGTGAAGAGAGTTTAAAAGCTGCAGCAGGACTGCAGACATTCACAGCAAGCTGGACCAGCAATGGCTCTGCTGAAGGTTCTGCTGCTGCTACTGGGTGAGTTGGACTCACTGGAGACACTGGTGACACTTCCACTGGTTCCAGAGAGGCTGCTGCTCTCTGTGACCCTCAAACTTCCCTCTGATTCTTTTTCACACTGAAACTTTTTTTGAATGTAAATACTGATGCTTTTCAATCTTTAACTGTTTATTCTTCTTCTATTCCAGCAGTCATGTTTGCATCTGATTTCTGAGTAAAGTAAGTCCACCTTTTTCTTCTTCAGGTGTTTCAGTGAACTCGGGTGTTTCTCTGCAGAAGAGAATCATCAGAGGTCATGATTGTGATAACAATGAGCATCTTCATTATGTTCGGCTATCAGGCAGGAAAGGTACTGCCACGACCCAGTGTGGCGGATCTCTGATCCATCCTGAGTGGATCCTCACTGCAGGTCACTGCTCTGAGATGGAGTCAGGATGGTAGGAAAGAGACATTAAGACATTTTTATCTGCAGTTGATCAGGTTTTCTAACTATTCATTATAATCTAACCTTTTCTGCAGGACTTTTACAGCATTGTTTGGAGTTCATCCACAGACTGCTAAACAGGAGGATCAGATAATCCAACACAATCCTGTGATTTATGTTAAAGATGGCCAGCTGCATGACATCATGTTGCTGAAGCTTCAGACACCAGTCAGAAATATCCCACCTGCTCTGCTACCAAGATGCAGTAACCGTCTTAAAAAGTAAGTCTTTTTCTGATCAAAAGCTTGAGTTTAGGTTTTCTGTCTCCACTGCCACAGTCCTGCTAACTCTGCTTCAGGACACCTGAGTCAGGTAATCATGCCACCAGCAGAACCAGAACCCATTTAGCTCAGGTGTGTTGGATCAGAGACACATGTAAAGGACGCAGGACACATCACTGAGGACTGGAGTTGGACACTCCTGTCTCAGTGGATGAAGACCTTCATGGATTTAGTTATGTTGTTTCATTGTTCCTTCTTGCGATTCATTTTCTGCATTGTTGCCTTACTGACATTTATTCTAATTGTCTTTCAGTGGTGATGCAGTTCAGCTGGCAGGAGAGGGAGCAACGATAATCGGACCCAATAATGAGCGACGTGAGAGAAATATTAAAGTTATGAGAATAAAATCTTTGTTTCTGTCTCTACAGAAAAGGCCGAGTGAAGAACATGTTTATGATTCTCCTGTTTCTCTGCAGTACCCTATGATGCTGTTTCATCACATCTTCAGTGTGTCGACATGAATGTTGCTGCTGTTTCCTACTTCGATTCGACACGTGGGTTTATATTCCGTGCTGCATCACCGAACAAGGATGCTTGTGCTGTAAGTTTGTTTCTTCAATATCTCTCTACAGTGACTGGAAGACCTTTCTCTTTTACAACATAAATAAATAATTATTGATCCACATTTTTCTACAGGGTGACTCTGGTGGAGGAGTGATCTTCAACAAGCAGCTTTATGGTGTGATTTCTGCAGGTGGAATCAATGCATGTCAGAGAGCAGCTTTTATCATGGATGTGTGTGAATACATGGAGTGGATAAGCAAATCAACTGGGCTTAAACTCAAAACATGAAGTGTCATGAAATCAAATTTTCAAATTTATCATGAAATCAAATTTCCTCTGTCGATGTTACTACTCGAGATCATCCCTAAAGTTAAATATATGCATTAGAAGGTGTGTTTTTCCCTTTGTGGGGCCTGTCTTAATGTTAATTTTATTACCTTTGAGTCCTACTGAAACACCCAGATCTTCTCTGGCCAGCCTCTTGCCCAGACCGTAATTTATGACGTGCAGCTGGAATGTTATCTCTGCCTCAACTGATTCAACAAAATCTAATGCTAAATAATAACTATAAGTTTGGATCTAAGAACTAAAATGTTTTCTATTTTAAGAAAAGCTCTTTTTGAGAATACCTGAAATATTTTTAAAGTAAAATATATTTGCTAATTCTATTGTATTTAAGTAATATAAAATGCATGCAAATAGTGTGATTACAAAATAATTCAAAACATGTTGTTTAATGCTTAAGGAAATATCTTAATATATATTTAATTCTAGTATGGATAAGATTTTTTTTAAAAAAGTTTTAATGTTCCACTGAACTTTTGAACCGACACTAAAGAATTTATTGTCCTGATAGCAGACAGACTCCCTGTCTGTATAGCAGTTAAAGGAGTTACAGTCCTGTCTATCTGCAAAACCCTCCCTAGAGATTTATGTAAGTTCAGAGAGCCACCAGTTGTTTTAGTTTGGATCTATATCTAAGTTTCTCTTAACGTAAAGGCTACTCCAAATGTTCATGGTATATTTCATATCCATAAAGGTTAGCTTGTCTACGATTGTGCTGATTAAAATTATATTTTCAACAGGGCTCGTCTCATATTTGGCCGTTAAATGTATTGAACCAATACATAACTGTCCGATAGACGCACCAATAATAAACATCAATACTAAGTTTAACAATAATGGTCAAAATATGACAGGCAATATTAAGGTCAGCTGCACTGTACTGGCGGGAGCAGAAGGACCCCTGAACGCTACAGACCAACGCTGGACGTCACAGTTGCCTAGAGACGGACACTGCGCAGCCGCAGTGAGCTGCTATCAACCCGCGTCTTTTTAAAACGTCCTCTCCCTGAATCCATGTTCGTCGAAGAAAAAACGCCTCAAAAATACAGACGTGAGTAAAAGACGCGTATTATAAGCTGAACATAGAAAGATAAAACAATGTGTCCGTCATGGCGCTGCTGTGTAACAGACTGAATGGACCAGGAGGAACCGCAGACCCGTCCAGAACCTACAGAACCAGAATCTCTTCATCCTCAACCATCTCCTGAGGCTGATATGGTACAGAACATTTTGCTATGATGGATTCAGTTTATTACTGTGATTTTAGCTTGATTATTATTATCGCTTTATGTTGAGTTTGGATCATTGGCGGAGCCAGAGGGGTGGCCGGGGTGGCACTTGCCACCCCCAACAGACCCCTGGCCACCCCTAGTGCCACCCCACTAGAAATGGTAATTTTTAAATATAATACGTATGATATCAGCAAAGATTTGCCAGGAAAACTGTAATTTCCGACTGTCCCTGAAGGCAGCTCGATGCCCGACGCTGTTCATTGGTTAAACTGACATGTGGTTCCTGCTTGATCCAAAACACATCCGCGGCTTTAGAGTTACACCGGGAGTTTTGCAGGTATTTACGACATTTTACCGCTCAGCAGTAACCGCTGTTACCTTCCTAATGAGAGGCGGCACTTGTCATACATTTCTAAAAAGAAAAAAAAAATGGTTGTGCACCGCTGCGTAGTGCCTCGTTTATTATATTAGCCATGCTAGTGCTGGTAGATCGTGTTTTAGACAGATTCTTTTAACATATGTTTTAGTGACATGCTGCCCTCTAATGTTTTATATCTCCCAGCTCTTGCTTGAAATGTGTGGTAAGAATATGAGAAAAACCATTAAGTTTTATAATGACTGAAATGTAAGTAGGCTATGTCAAATGAAAGCTTTGAATTATAACCTGACTAGTTATATTAATTAATTTTAATTAATATATTTTTAATTTAGTATTATTTTAGCTAGCTACAGAAAACTAAAAACTATAGTTTAAATAATAGTTGAAATAGTGTCTCTGCCAAACAGTCATGGAGTCTAAATACCAGGCTCTTATTTTGTGTAGAGCCCAAATGAAGAGAAAAGGGAATATCTCCCAGTTCTTCTGAAAGAGGCAAAAACCAGGGCCAGACAGAACCCTGCAGCAGTGACCAGGACCAGACAGAACCAGACAGAACCCTGCAGCAGTGACCAGGACCATACAGAACCCTGCAGCAGTGACCAGGACCAGACAGAACCCTGCAGCAGTGACCAACCTGGAGAATCCAGCCAGGAGACTCCAGGCCCAAGTGGATCACCAGCGGGTTAGAGGCTGTGACAGAGAGTTATTAAGTATTAAAATCCAATTAAAGCTGCAAGCAGCCTCGAACGGCCCTCGCAGCCAAGCGCCGCTCCGGCCTATTGCCACCGCGGGGTACTAGCAACCGTCGCCTCACGCCAGCCACCACAGAAGCTCTCACGCAGTTTTCAACGCCTCCGCCTACACCGCGGTAGCTGTTGCTGAGTTTCCATCAACGCTTCACACGTTCCAACACAGAAGTTGTTGCGCAGTTTCCGCGCCCGTCCACCAGGCGGTACGCATCGATGCGTTCGGCGGCGCTCCTTGACGATGCTAAAAAATGTGGTGCAGAGTCATTGGTTCAGCGAGGAAATATAGCTGGCGGATTAATGTAGGGGGCGCAGTGGAGTCAAAATACATTTCAATACTGTTTTGCTCTTTAGAGGTCAACAAAGTTCATACATATTCAATTTGGCGCCAGTCGAATGATCCGCGTGTCATTTACAGCCGATCGTATGCACATGGCGAAGTACTGCAGTTCGTCATTGTTCATCATCTTCAGCTGTGTTTCTAAAGAACTCTATTTCATTGTTGGAGTAATACTTACTCAGAGTGGGGAATTACTGAAATGGTTTGTAAGAAGTAAGAAAATGCTACATTTACTACATGATTTAATTCAACAGAAATTATCTGAGACATTTCTATCCTTTTAGAAATTTCACGGCAACGTTCACAAAGTTTTCATGCCCATCCGCCCATGGATCTGTCATTGGTGGAGGAACACTGACACCAACTGGCGAAATACTGATATTGTTCTTCATCCTGTTTATCTGCTGTTTCATTTGTGGAGCAATACTGACCCCAAGTGGCGAATTACTGAAATGGTTTATAAACGCCAAAAATGGGGTCAAAATCTGAACTTCAATCTAAAATGGCGGACTTCCTGTGGGGTTTAGACCATGGCTCCAAGAGACTTTTTTGTAAGTCCTGACATGGTACACATGTGTACAAAGTTTCGTAATTGTAGGTTAAAGCATGGCTTGGGGCTGATCATTTAAAAGTTTCTAGGGGGCGCTATAGAGAAATTAGGCCACGCCCACCAAATATTCTGATGGATTCCTGTCAGGGAGTGGATGAGGATCCATCCTTGTGAGTGTGGAGCAGCTGGGCCTAAAAATGTGGAATTGAGAGCCAAACGTATGGCGATGGCGTTACAGGTCACTTCGCCACGCCGCCACGCCCAGCTGCTCCATTGAAGCTGGTCGGGGTTGGAATCCTCAATACACCAACATGTCTTCTGTGTCTGGGCACAGTTTCATGTTGATGAGGTCAAAGGGGTGAGATAGCGACCGTTAACAGTAAAACATTACACTTCCTGTTATCAGGGGGCGTGGCCTAAGTGATGTCATCATCCGACCATAGGGTGTTGTAGGAGAGCCGATGATGATCAATCACAGTAACTTTGGTGCCTCTGTGAGTTTCTGTATAGGAGATATAGCAGTTTATTTTTTATGGGGAGTAGGTGAACTTTGACCCCTGCTAACCCCCTTCAGCATACTCAAAAACTCACCGTTTTGATAACTTTAGATGGGACATGCCTTATGAACAGACTGACGGAGTTTGAAGCCGATCAATCGAAATCCCTAGGAGGAGTTCGATCAAATACGAAGGCTGTAAACGGCAAAAATGGGTCAAAATCCAAACTTTAATCCAAAATGGCTGACTTCCTGTGGGGTTTAGACCATGGCTCCAAGAGACTTTTTTGTAAGTCCTGACAAGGTACACACGTGTACAAAGTTTCGTAATTGTAGGTTAAAGCATGGCTTGGGGCTGATCATTTAAAGTGTTCTAGGGGGCGCTATAGAGAAATTAGGCCACACCCTACAAATATGTGATGGATTCCTGTAGAGGAGTGGATGAAGATCCATCCTTGTGAGTTTGGAGCAGCTGTGCCCAAAAATGTGGAATTGAGAGCCAAACGTATGGCGATGGCGTTACAGGTAACTTCGCCACGCCGCCACGCCCAGCTGCTCCATCGAAGCTGGTCGGGGTTGGAATCCTTAACACACCAACATGTCTTCTGTGTCTGGGCACAGTTTCATGTTGATGAGGTCAAAGGGGTCAGATAGCGACCATTGACAGTAAAACATTACACTTCCTGTTCTCAGGGGGCGTGGCCTAAGTGATGTCATCATTTGACCATAGGGTATTGTAGGACACCCGATGATGATCAATCCCAGAAACTTTGGTGCCTCTGTGAGTTTCTGTGTAGGAGATATAGCAGTTTATTTTTTTACGGTGAGTAGGTGAACTTTGACCCCTGCTAACCCCCCTTCAGCATTCTCAAAAACTCACCGTTTTGATAACTTTAGATGGGACATGCCTTATGAACAGACTGACCGAGTTTGAAGCCGATCAATCGAAATCTCTAGGAGGAGTTCGATCAAATAGGAAGGCTGTAAACGGCAAAAATGGGGTCAAAATCTGAACTTCAATCCAAAATGGCTGACTTCCTGTGGGGTTTAGACCATGGCTCCAAGAGACTTTCTTTTAAGTCCTGACATGATACAAATGTGTACAAAGTTTCGTAATTGTAGGTTAAAGCATGGCTTGGGGCTGATCATTTAAAGTTTTCTAGGGGGCGCTATAGAAAAATTAGGCCACGCCCACCAAATATTGTGATGGATTCCTGTAGGGGAGTATGAGGGACCATCCTTGTGAGTTTGGAGCAGCTGGGCCTGAAAATGTGGAATTGAGAGCCAAACGTATGGCGATGGCGTTACAGGTCACTTCGCCACGCCGCCACGCCCATCTGCTCCATCAAAGCTGGTCGGGGTTGGAATCGTCAACACACCAACATGTTCTCTGTGTCTTGGCACAGTTTCATGTTGATGAGGTCAAAGGGGTCAGATAGCGACCGTTCTCAGTAAAACATGACGCTTCCTGTTCTCAGGGGGCGTGGTCTAAGTGATGTCATCATTCGACCACAGGGTATTGTAGGGCAGCCAATGATGATTAATCACAGTAACTCTGGTGCCTCTGTGAGTTTCTGTGTAGGAGATATAACAGTTTATGTTTTTATGGCGAGTAGGTGAACTTTGACCCCTGCTAAACCCCCTTCAGCATACTCAAAAACTCACAGTTTTGATAACTTTAGATGGGACATGCCTTATGAACAGACTGACCGAATTTGAAGCCGATCAATCGAAATCCCTAGGAGGAGTTCGATCAAATACGAAGGCTGTAAACGGCAAAAATGGCCTCAAAATTGGACCTTCAATCCAAAATGGCCGACTTCCTGTGATACTTGCACTATGACATTAATTGTAAATTTTGAGCGTCCTGGGGAGCTCTAGAAGAGTACCAAATTTCATGTCTCTAGGATAAAGTAAGTGAATAGCAAAGGGTCCTTTGAAAATTTCTAGGTGGCGCTATTGAGTCATTTCTTATGGGATTTTTGCAATGACCT